CTGGAATTTGTAGAGTGGCTTTGTGTAGTAGGTGTCCTGTAGGGTCCAGTGGCTCAGCCTCCCCAGTCACCTGAGCTGGGCCTTCTAGGTGCTCCCCTGTGTGGGCTGTGTGCACTGTCCTGTTGTAGTTGAGCCTTGGTTGCTGTTGGTGTCACTGGGTGGAATTGACCCCCCGATCAATCAGCTGTGAGGACCAGCTGCAGCTACAGCCAAGGAGCTGTTGTGCTGGAGACACCCCTATGGAGCAGGATTTACTTCAGTGGGGCTTTGGTGTTCACCAAGTGCGCCCCTTGAGTGTGTTACTCGTGGATGTGGTAGGGTTGTCTCTGGGGCCTCCTGTGAGGTACAAAGTCAGCCTCTGCAAGTGCCTTGCCCAAGGCCACCCAGCATGAGCTACACAGCAAACCGTAGTTGTCTGCTACTTGTGCTGGGCCTGGAGGTGTCCAGGAGAAGCGAAGCCATGAACCAGTGCAGGCTGCCTCTAGTGCCAGTCCTGGGGCCGCTTATCAAGCTATATGGGGCACGCTGCTGGTTTGATTTTAGGGAAGTCCTAAGCATGAGGCTCGAGCCACCACTTGCACAGAAAAGCCACTGGAAATGGCCCGGATGAGCTGCAGGTGGGGAGGAGCAGCGCCTCCGGGAATCAGCTGGGAGGGGCCAAAGGTGTGAGCCAAGTGCTGGTGATTCAAATATGGCGCCTGCCTGCTGACTGTGTGGGGGGAGGGCTCGCCAAAGGAGCAATGGCCTCTGCCAGCTCTTCTGTCTGTGAGAAAGCTGCCCCTCCACCTCTCGCCCCAATTTCAGGCAGGTTAGTTCCTCCCCAAGTGTCCCAGGTTTCTTTCAAGCTGCTGCTCGGCGCTGGGCTCAGAGGGAGCGTCTGAGTGGTTCCGTGTGCGGGCCCTTTAGGAGGAGCTGCTGGCGCTCCCGCAGCCTCCCCGACCCTCAGCTACAGTCCCGCTGGGTTTCACAGCCCGAATTTGTGGGGACTTCTCTTCCCGGCCCTGGAGCCCTGGGCTGGGGGCCTGATGTGGGGCTGGGACACCTCGCTCCTCTTTGAAACCTCTGCCTAGACTCCACCCTGAGGTAATGCATCACCTCTTGTAATGAATAACAAGATACTTCTTTCACCTTTATCACTCTGGTGCTGTTTCAGGAATTGGAGCTATCTGAGGACAAAATACCAAATAATATAATAAAAGATTCTCCCATTGCTCTTATCACTTAGGAAATTACAAGGGTTTTAGGGACAGTGTGCCAGGAACAGGTACAAAGATCATATAGATATTTTTAAGTTATAAATCATAATATCACAACAGTAAAAAAGCACAAAAAACAATCTACTATTTCTCATGCTCTAATCTAATTTCTCATAGCCAACCACTATGAACTGTTTGGTATATATATTGCCTGTCATTTTTTTATGCATTTACAAATATATAGTCTTTCCTTTTGACAAAAGTGTTATCATAATATACATGTTATTCTAGTTTTTTGATTTAGCATTGTCACCTGTATATATTCACGTTTGCACAAATAATCTTTATTCCATACACTGAAATAGCATGTAACCATTTAAAGTTTATTTAATCTCTCCTTAATAATCATTTCAGTTTTACCCCATGTTTTGCTTGAAGTGAATATCCTTATTTTTTACATATTTATGCAAGTATTTTTGTAGAATCAATACCTAAAAGTATAATTGCTGGGTTAAAAGATGTGTACATTTTAAATTCATAGGTATTGCTAAAATTGTTATCAAATGTAGCTATACCATTTTGCACACAAAATAAAAATATATGAAAGTACCTGTTTTCCCACTTAATGTTTTGCTGGATATTATTGATCCTTTTAGTTTTATCCATTCAGATGAATTAATTTTTTTTAAATTGTGTTCTCCTAACAGTGAGGTTGTGCATCATCTCATTTATTGGTGATTTATATTTCCTCTTCTTTGGAGTCATCTTTTCATATTCTTTGCCCTCCTTTTGGTAAAGTGGTTTCTTTTTTCTTTCTGATTTTTTAGGAACTATTTATATATTCTAAATATTATATAATGCAAAAACTTTCTTTTTGTTTATACCTGCAGCGTATAACAAAGAAAAGGTTAATATCATCAGTGCTATGTGACTTTAAATTTTGTTTTACTGTCTTTCACTGTATTGAAGTTTTAGAAATTTGTTCCTGTCAATTTGTTGACCTTTCTTCTTTATGTCTGATTAATGTAGTGGTATCTTAAGAAGGCATTTCTCATTTTAAAATTGTGAAAAAATTCTGTATATCCACATTCTTAATCTAAATTCCTTGTTAAATTTTACTTGTACTGGTGTAGAGTTTTTTGGCTTATCTGATGGTATCAGTACCATTAAAATACTTTTTGCATCATTTTTATGTAGACATATTCAGGAGGTGGTAAGTCTTCAAACCCAGCAGAATAAGGAGCTGCAGGAGCTCTATGATCGCCTCCGGGCCATTAAAGATAACAAAATCCAGTCATCAGAGGTTGCTCTGCCATCTGCATCACCACCACGTAGACCAAGATCTTTCAAAAGCAAACTTCGAAGCCGCCCCCAGTCCTTGACACATGTGGACAGTGATGCAACTGTTACAGGTAAATCAATCTTAAAAGTGATTTTTAAAAATTGGTCAAAGATCAGCAATATTAGAAAATTAATGATAATGGGTTTTGTTTGTTTAGTTTGTTCTATTTACTTTTTGGGGGTGGGGAGTTATAGAAGTTTTATTTTTGCTTCAAAGAGCTTTCCCAAAGAGTGATGATTCATTTCAATTATACGTCATCATAACGAACACTGTTCTGATGGCTTTCATAATAGTGTGAATTCAAGGTCATATGTGTAATATGTATTTTCCTGAAATCCAATATATTCATTTGGATTCATTTGGGTTATCACCTGTGATTGGGTGCCTTCTGCATGCCCCCTGCTGGGGATCGAGCCCAAAATCTGGGCATGTGCCCTGACCAGGAATCGAACTTCAATCTCCTGGATCCTAGGTCAATGCTTAACTGCTGAGCCATGCCCAGCTGGGCTACGCCATCTATTTCTATTCAGCCATAGCCAGAGGCATGGGATCTCATGGTTAAAACATGCCTTTTGAGACTCAGAAACGTGGCTTTTTAAAACTCAGAACGTTGTCTCTGAGATTCTTAAAGTTATTTTGTGTTATGAAGCTTGTTACTTTTTATTGCTGAGTAATATTCCATAGTATGGATGTACCACAGTATCCATTCACCTGTTGAAGGACATTAGGATTGTTTCTAGTGTTGAGTTCTTGTATGTGCCCTGACCAGGGATTGAACCTGTAACCTTGGAGTATAGGGATGATGCTCTAACCAACTGTGCTACCTGGCCAGGGCTCTTTTGCCATTTATTATATCCTGTTTTGTTTGGTTTTTTTAATTGATTTCAGAGAGAGGAAGGGAGAGGGAGAGAGAAATAGAAACATCAATGGTGAGAGAGTCATTGATCGGCTGCCTCCTGCACAGCTCCTACCAGAGATCAAGCCTGCAACCTGGGCATGTGCCCTGATTGGGACTCAAACTGTGACCTCCTGGTTCATAGGTTGATGCTCAACCACTGAGCAACACCAGCTGGGCATGTATCCTGTTTTTTAGAAGGATTTATAGAGGACTAGTGTTAATTCTTCCTTAAATGTTTGATCGAATTAAATAGTAAAGCCATCTGGGTCTGGTGTTATATGTTGGAAGTTTAAAAAAATTAATTCAGTCTCTTTGTTCGTTAATAGGCTTGTTAAGATGTTCTCTTTTTGTTTGTAATTTTATAGTAATCTGACCCTTTCATCTAAATGACCTAATTTGTTGACATACAGTTGTTCATAATATTCTTTTATAATCCTTTTTACTTGCGTAAGATTTGTAATGATTTTTCCCCTCTTTCATTTTTGATTTTAGTAATTTGAGTATTCTGTCTTTTTTTCTTGGTCATTATAGTTAAAGGTTTGTCAATTTTGTTGATCTTTTAAAAAAATCAACTTTGGTTTCACTGATTCTCTATTGCTTTTCTCTTCTCTATTTTATTTATTTTTTATTCCAGTCTGTTTCCTTCCTCCTACTTGCTTTGAGTTTAGCTTACTCTTTTTCTAATTTCTCATTCTAAAGAACCATACCTAGACACACTGACTTTCATCAGTTTAATTATGATATGTGCAATGTTGATGTAAGAAATGTTCAAACGCCTGGCCGGCATGGCTCGGCAGTTGAGCATCGACCTAGGATCCAGGAGATGGCGGTTTGATTCCCAGTCAGGGCACAGGCCCGTGCAGCAGGCTCGATTCCCAGTCGGGGCGCAATGCAGGAGGCAGCCGATCAATGACTCATCATTGATGTTTCTATCTCTCTCTCTCCCTCTCCCTCCCTCTCTCTGAAATCAATAAAGACTTTTTTTTAAAGAAATGTCCAAACATGTAAAGAATTTTTATATTAGAGTTTACATGATCCCAAACTAATGACAGTTTCTGGGAAGCAAGATCTAAAATGCTCCAGAGAATAACAGTTTTGTAGTTTCCTTTATGCATTTGAAATTAAGGAGGGAACATAAGGAAGATTACATGAAGGTGGGAGAAAGCAAGGCAGGTATTGGATTATAGGCTAGTTAAGATTATGTGCTCTGTTGGGGGGTGGTTATGCCTTGATTGGCATTACTCCTGACATTTCAAAGCTGTGCTAACCTAGATGTACAAGAACAGTGGATAGGGCTTGCTTAAAAACCTTTCACTTATAGGCCTGGTGTGTGACTATCCACATGACCTGCCCAGAACACATTTTCAAAAGCACTGCCGCCCTAGCCGGTTTGTCTCAGTGGTTAGAGTGTTGGCCCTCAGACTGAAGCGTCTCGGGTTCGATTCTGGTCGAGGGCTTGGTTGCAGGCTCAATCCCCGGTTGGGGCGACCAATTGATGTGTCTCTCTCCCATTGATGTTTCTCCCTCTCCCTCCCTTCCACTCTCTTTGAAAAGCAATGGAAAAAATATCCTCGGATGACAATTAAAAAAAACAAAGAAGCAGCAGCATTGTCTTAGCATATATACAGAGATCCACATCCATCCTTCCCTGCCCACAATTATGCTTCTTCTGTGAGAAACATGAACTGATGTGTGGTATTCCAATGTAATGGTATCCACAATGTAGGTGTGTAGTTACCTTATAACATGAGCGCTGTGCTGAAAAGAAAGCATAGCAGGCACAAAGACTGCTATCTTTAGAAAGATCTTGTCCAAGGTTTCCCCTTGGCTGGTGTGTATGAACTTGGTTTCACTCTCCTCCCTAACTGATAAATGTAGTTCACTTTGCCTAGATTGTTGATATAAATAATGTGATTTATGCTGAACACCTTTCCTTCACTGAGTCTGGAATTTTGGTACGTGCTAGGTAGAAGGTGACTACATGACTAGTCCTCAGTAAAAACCTTGGCCACTGAGTCTCTAATGGGCTTCTCTGGCCAGAAAAACTGCATTTTTTTGTTGCTATGAGAAAGGAGCATGCTCAAGTGTGTCCCTTCACAATAGGAAGAGAGCATAAAGAAGTCTATATTTCTCTATATTCCTGTGTCTGTTTCCCTTGCCAATCCTATCATACATCCTTTTTCTGTAATAAACTTAGCCACGAATACAACTATATGCTAAGACCTGTGAGATCTTCTATTGAATTCATGAATCTGTGTGGTCTTCGAGATCCTGAAACATAATCACATTACATAAACTCAATCCTCTAAACAACTCTAAGGTAGGTAGAAATTAGTGCCTGTCACTTATAAACAAGAAGACTAAAGTTACTGATGTTAAGCAACTTCCCTAGGAACTTGGTTCATAAGAGAAGGAATCCAAATCTGCCTGACTCCAGAGCCTTAGCTCTTTACTATTATACTGCATTGCCTCCCAATACCACAAATTGTATTTGCAGTGGATTGAGAATAGGCAATGGAAGATCATCCAGAATGACAGTCGACTGCTTCATACAGGAGGTAGGATTTGAGTTGGTCTTGAAGGATAAAGGGACATTAAAATTTATTAAGTGCAGTGGGAAGAGTGTTGTTAATAAAAATATATGATATAAAGGCATGATATGGTAAAATATAAGAGTTATTTGGGAGAAAGGAATATAACAGCTGAGTGAAATGGAGGGTTTACATTAGAAGGTTTTTCTTCCATACTTAAAAAAAAGTTGGGCCCTAGCTGGTTTGGTTCAGTGGTTAGAGCATTGGCCTTTGGACTGAAGGGTCCAGGTTTGATTCCAACCAAGGGCACTTACCTCAGTTGCAGACTCGATCCCTGGCCCAAGTTTGGGGCCTGTGCAGGAGGCAACCAATCCATGTGTGTCTCTGACATCAATGTTTCTCTCTCTGCCTCCCCCCCTCTGAAAAGCAGTGGAGCCCAGCCGGGCGTGGCTCAGCGGTTGAGCATCGACCTAGGATCCAGGCGATCAGGGTTCGATTTCTGGTCAGGGCACATGCCCGGGTTGCGGGCTGCAGCCGATCAATGGTTCTCTCATCATTGATGTTTCTATCTCTCTCTCTCCCTCTCCCTTCCTCTTTCTGAAATCAATAAAGATATGTTAAAAAAAAAGAAAAGCAATGGAAAAAATATCCTCAGGTGAGAATTTAAAAAACAAAAGTTGGCAACTGCCACAGGTGGTTTGTGCTACAGTTTTGTATAAGATTATGTATCTGATCTAACACATAATTATATATTTAACCCTAATAAATGAATTAATATGTTTGTTTAAGGTTAACAAATAAGATATCTGTTGTGCAAGGACAACCATGACTACCAAGGACTTTTCCTCCTAAACAAGTTAAAAGGTTATCATTGTTAATATTAAGAAACTATTAAAAACTTTTATTTTTGAGCAGAGGAGTGAAATACTGAAAACAGAATTTAACTTAAATTAACCTGGTGGCAATGTAAAGAATGTATTGGCTAGAGCCAGGGAGTGAGTCTATTTAGCTCATTGCAGTTCATATATGAGATGAATAAGAGCCTAGAGAGTTGTGGAAGTAAAAATAGATGAGATAATGTAGAGGATGAATTTCTATGATGTGGTGATGAACTGGATGTGTGTTTGTGGAGAGATCAGAAGGAAATGGGGTCTGGGCGGCTTGGAGAAAATGTATCTTTAAGAGAAATGACATTTAGACTTTATGAATCTTTTCTGTGAGAATGATTTAGTAAGCTTGTAGAATCGTACTAAATATTTTTTCTTTTTATTACATTTATTGAGGGTGACATTGGTTAATAAGTACTAAATAATTTAAAGACTTAGTGTGATGTTCAGATTAGTAAACTTTTCACTGATGGAGATACCTGTAATTGATTTCTTTCATTGTTTTGGACATCTTGTTTTCCAGACCTCATGAAGCTTGCAAACTATCTGCATCCTTATTTCTGCTATCTAGATACACATTCTTTTTATCATTAACAAACAGAAATATTGATCAAAAAATTAAATGAGATACTAGTTTTTTGAATCCTCTTGCAAATCAGTATGGTATAACCGAAGAGAGAGAGAGTACTTGTCTCAACTTCAGAGTTCCAGGCCTGGCTCTGCTGGTAACTAATTGCAAGAACCCAGCATGTCAGTTTACCTTTCCTAGGCCTCATTTCCCCATTATAAACAACTGGTTTTGATTAGATTTCTAAGGTTCTTTTTACTTTTAACAGTCTGTAATTGTTCTTTAACTCTTCTAAGTATCTAATAAGGAAACTGATGAACAGATTAGGGTTGATGCTAATTTTTTTAGAGACACTACTATTTATTATATTTGATTTGTACCTAAGGTGACCATACAATTTGCCATCCAAACAAGAGGAAACTTTTGAGAGTGAAAGGAGTACCTACCGTTAGTAATTACTTCAGGACAAGAGTTTTAAACCAGAACTGCCGCAGATAAATTAGAATGCCTGGTTACCCTGTCAATTGCATTGCTGTCCAAAGAAGAGTATTTATGTTTTCATCCCTTTTCATGGTTTCCCTGTTTTTCCTTATAGAGCCACTGTGTGCTGAAAGTAATACAGCATCAAGCCAGCAATCTCCAGCTAGTAAAAAAGGGATGTTCACAGATGACTTACACAAACTGGTGGATGACTGGACAAAGGAAACAGTAGGAAATTCTCTTATTAAGCCAAGTTTAAACCAACTTAAACAGAGTCAACACAAATTAGAGACAGACAACTGGAACAGAATACATGAAGTAAGTTGTTTATACCTGATCCTCTTTATTTATAAGAATTAAAACCATAAAAATTGATTTGCCTAGCTCTGGACAGTGTGGCTCAGTTGGTTGAGTGTCATCCCATTTGATTCCCGTTCAGGGCACATGCCCTGATTTCGGGTTTGATCCCTGGTGGGGGTTCGTGCGGGAGGCAAAAAATCGATCTCTCTCTCTCTCTCTCTCTCTCTCTCTCTCTCCCTCTCTCAAATCAATAAAAACATATATTTTTTAAAAATTGATTCGCCTAGGCCTATGGTTACAGTTACTATGAGGGAGTGATGACTTGAGAACATACAGACTTTTATCCTTGTCTAGATCCCTTATGTCTTGAAAAAAATTATCTTTTAGACCAGGGTTCAGCAAACTTTTTCTGGGAAGTTGTCCATAATTATCTTCAAGCCTTTTGGTTGCAAGTACTCAACTCTCATTGTAGTGCAAAATCAGCCTTAGACAAAACATAAATAATGGGTGTGACTTTGTTCCATCAAAGTTCCATTTGCAAAAAGAGGTGGTGGGGGCCTTAGATCGCTGACCCTATTTTAGATTATATATTTGAAAAAAAAACAAACACCATCAAATATCATAAAAGAAAGCATCTGGAGTGAGGGTTAGTTAATTCCATCTTATAGTGAAAGAAAAGTTTGAGTTTTGAGAAAAAGCTATCTTATGTTATACATCAGCATTCTTAGAACCAATAAGTTACCTTATTCAATATGAAAAAGAATTTTAAAGCTCTCTAAGCTAGAATGCTATATAAAAGACATCTTAAATTTATGGACAAGATGCCTAGCTGACTGCATATGGCCTTGGGTGTGCATGCAATTGAAATGCAGAAAGATGTCCACAGTGCATTCGGGAGTGGGGAAAATGGAGACTTACAGAGCAGTATATATACAAGGTGAAGCAAAAGTAGGTTTATAGTTGTGGGTACACTAAACATTTTATTTTATTATTATTTATTAGCTATTGTATTATTTTCCATACGAACAACTGTAAGCCTACTTTTGCCCACCCCGTATAGTATTTGTGTATAATTGTATATATTAGATATATGTGTATATGCATTAAAATAAGAAAAGCCATTAACGGTATGCTGGGTGGTGGAATTTGGGCCTTATTTAATTTGTCCTTTTCTGTGTTTGAAGTTTTAAAGTAAGTATCATTTTTTCAAAATGAGTAAGTCTATTAAAATGTGGATCACAGCTTAGAATCTGAACCTTCATTATTGAAAGAGATATATCTGTGTGTTTATGTGCTATGTTTGTGTACATATACGTGTGTGTATATAGTCATTGCATAGAGTTTGATAAAAAAAAGTCTGAAAATACATTTAGTGTTAACAAATAAAAATTTTCAAAAGCCCAGGTTTCCCAAACTAGTAAGCAGTGTGTATTTATCTTACTCCGGGTACCAATTTACACAGATAGTATCACCACTGTAAAAATTGGGAGCCTTCAGAGGCCAATGTCAAGGCATAAATGCAATTAGTGCTGCCAGTGAGACATCTCTGAGTACTGTGTGAATGGAGGCTTTTGTTGGCTAGTAGGAGGGTGGTTTATTGCAGTATAATGGAGGATGTTTGGAGGAAGAGTGAGTAGAAAATGGACGAATGAAGGTGGTAAAGGTCTTTTAACAGACTTAGGTTCCGGTGTCAGCTCAGTCATTTACTAGTTGTGTGACTATAGACAAGTCATTTTTGCCTCAGTTTTCATGTCTTTTAAATAGGGATAATACCTACCTGCCTTGTAGGATTGCTGTGAGGATTAAATGATATAACACCTATAAAATACCTAGCACATAATAGTACCCTATATATGGTAACTATTTTTACGTTCAGTTGCTTGTATCTTTGTGTGGAGAGCCCATCTCGCTCTCTAACGTTCTTGCATGTTACTGTTCTGTAGCCTTACTTAGGAAATGTTGTCACAAATATGTGCTGGGTCCTTTACTATGTGCCAAGTTTTCTGCTAGGCACTGGGTTTGATGAGCAAAAACAAGTATGTTCCCTATTCTTATGGAACTTATACTCTGGTGGGATGGTTAGATATGAACAGACTCGTATAAATAAATATAAAATTGTGGCTGTAATAAGGACTAGAATGGAGATACAGTAAGGGACATTTGAGCTAGTAAAGGAAAGCTTCCCTGAGAAAGTGATGATTGAGCAAAGATCTTAAGGATGGGTAGGTGTTAACTGGGTGAGAGGGGAGGGAATATGATTCCAAGCAGAAAGGACAGCATATGCAAAAGCCCTGTACAGGGAAAGGGAGCTGAAGGGATTAAGAGTAGGCCAGTTTGGCTGAAGTGAAGAGAGCAGAGAGGAGTTGGTGCAGTCAATCTAAGGAGGTAGGTAGGGTCTTAAAAGTGGTGATGACAAGGAACTTTGTCTTTATTTTAAGGAAGATGGATAGCCATTGAAGTCCTAGGTTGGCGTGATCAGATTTGCTTTTTGAAAAGATCACTCTGACTTAAAGCAAGAAAAAAGGGTTATTGGGGGTAAGCGTAGATGTTAATAGACCAATTAAGTTAGTCACAATAGTGTAGAGAAGTTGAGATAGAATGAACAGATTCTAAGAAATGTTTAAGAGATAAAACGGACCATTTTTAGCGATGGAATGAATGTATGGCAGAGGGGAGGTGTCAAGGCTGGGTTTCTAGCTGGTATTACTGGCTGTCATTCCAGCATACCAATCACCAAAATGGAGAACATGAGCAAGCAGTGTGTTTTGGTAGAGGAAAGATCATATATTTGGTTTTGGTCATTTGAATCTGAGGTGCTTTTGAACTATCCAAGAAAAGGTTAAGTATAAAATATCACCTCCAATTCAGTCTTTTAAAAATAAAAGTCACATTATTATTTGTAAAATAACATTTGTTATAGAATTTAATCAATACAGAAAAGTACAAATTTTTAAATACTGCCTTCAAATCCTACCACCCAGAAATAGTTTTCAGGTATCTTTCTATGTCTGTATATGGATTCATGGAAATAAATTTATAAAAATGCAGTCATACTGTATGTGCTGTTTTGAATCAGAAGTATTAAATTCAGTTTTACCTTAACAGAACAAAAACACTGGTATGAAGAAGGGGTTGCTGAAATTTAAGTGAATGTTTTTTTTCCCACCTCAAGAGATATTGTCATTTATTCTTGAGTCAAGCTCAAAACCTTTACCCTAATTTTAGTTTGAAACTTTCAGTTTAGTTGAAAGGGTTTTAGCTTGACCATTCAATTTAGAAGGACTAAGCATTTGGGACTGATACCAAGCTCTCCTTTGAGTGAGGATTATTAACTTCCATTAGACTTATTACTCCGGTATGCATAAGATTTCAGTAATCTTTATACATATGCATAATAACAACACAATATGATAAGAAGAGTCAGACAGGAATATATTTCCTCAATACTGCCAAAAACATAATTGTCTTGAGTTTAAATTTCCAAAAATATAACAGAAATGTCAGACTTTATTTAAGATTGTGAGTAGAAGGCGGTAGGGAGGTGACATTTATTGAGCACCTCCTGTATCCCAGACTCTTTCCCCCATGCCACACTAAATCATGCTCCTCTGTCTCCAAAGAATTATGTAATGTAATAAGATGGGCTATTGTGTGTGGTGCTGAATAAGCGAATGCCTGGGACTGCCAGAAGGAAATAAAAATAGAAGAGGAGTGGTGGCATGAGGAAAGGATACACTAAACTGAACAGAGATTTAACAGGGGCCTTGGAGTTAGCTGGAATTGTGTTCAAATCCTTACTTCACTATTAATTTGCTTAGTGTGTTAGGTGTTACCAATTTTGAGCTGCTTTTTCCTCATCTGAAAATGTCTACCTTGCAGGGCCGTTATGAAGATGAAGTGGACAAGGTATGTAACTATACTTCACACAGAGGTGCTGCAAAGATGGTAGCCACTCATAGTAATAATGGGAGTGGTAAGCCAAAAAGAATAGGAAGGAATATAGATGGGTGAAAGCATCTACCAAATAAACTGATCTTTTGTTTTGTTTTCGTAGAATACTCCATCTACTCTGGGCTATACTCCAACATGGATTCCTTCTCTGTCCCAAATCCGTGGAGCTGTCCCAACCTCCTCACCACAAGGACTCTCACTCCCTTCATTTCCTGGGCCATTACCATCATACGGAATGCCCCATGTTTGTCAGTATAATGCTGTGGGGGGGCCAGGGTATCCAGTACAGTGGGTAGGAATTCCAGGACCACCACAACAGCCTGTAGTAATTCCTACCCAACCTGGGGGACCGTTCCAGCCGGGAATGAATTTGCAGGCGTTTCCATCTTCATCAGTGCAGAATCCATCCACGATCCCTCCTGGTCCCAAATGAATCAGAGTAGATGATGAATGAAGAAAAGGGGGATTTTTTCAGAATTATTCCCGGGACACCTAAAATATTAAACTTTCTTCTTGGGTTCTGTCATATTTTCCCTCACTTGAGTTTACTTCCCACTGTATGTTTTGTTCCAATGTAGTGTTTGATAGAGCTCATCATTCTGTAGAACTGTGCAGTTTGTACATAGAACTCTGCGCACGGAAATGTTTTTCACTTCAGATCCTATCCTCTTTGATACTTGATTTTTTAAAAATACTGTTCAGAATGCTTTAAATGAGCTCTGCTTGAGCATTACCATTTCCAGGACACTTTCCATGAATTGCTGAAAAGCCTCCATTTTTTACTGCTGCTGTCTGCAGCTGGATGATACTTTTCTTTAAAATGTATAAAAACTGTTTAAATTGATATTCCCCAAATGTGGACAAAGTGAGAACCTCCAACAGCCGGAGTCTTGTGGGATTCTTCATATGTTTGTCTTAGGTTTACCTTTCACAGAAGGCAGGGTAATGCTGCAGGAAATGTTTTGGTATATAAAATTAGAATAACTTTTGTCAACTAATATAGAACAGGAGCCCTTTTTAATGTGATTTTCTTCCCGTCGTCACAGCTATAGGAGTGAAGCCTTGTTTTAGGTGAGGCGGAAAGAAAGGAAAAAACAGAACTGTAACAGTTCCTTGATTCTGCAGATAATGTAGCTGTTTTAGGATTTCGATAGTAATTCAAAGCAGCTATCTCCTTGTTTCTCATGTGCGCACTACATGGTTTTTGAGCATCTGAGAGGCACTGGCTTGTATTCTTTCGCAAGGGATACATTGCAGGTGACAATGAGTCTCATTGGGAGGATCTTTGTATTCCTAACAAAGAGGGTTCAAGTTCCACCTCTGTTGACCCATTCTTCCGAAGTGAAATTTACTTGACACAGTAGGTTTTGTAGGTTTTAAGACTTACACATGAAACACTGGCTTTACAGGGTTCTAAAAGATGTGGGGTATACACTGTCCTGCAGTGAAATAGTAGACCCTCAAAGTATACTATTTAATTGCCCTTAGGTTTTTGTTGTTTTTTTGCATTACCATTTTTTTAGTTGTTTGAATTTCTAGTTAGTATCTATAGCATCTTATTTTTAGATCTTAGATGATTTTGGCAGCCTCTTTAGAATCTGCAAGAGATCACTGTCAAGTTGCACTTTACTGGGTTTTATCCAGTTGTAGGAGGAGGGGAGGCAATGTCAAAATATACACTTTTGGTTTTCAAGAAAGTTAACTGCAATCATCTTAAAAGGCCGGTCACTGAGTTACCTAATGCTCAGTCTGTGAAACCCAAGTAGAATTCTTAAATGGTATTTATTGACCACCACATATGCATGTTTAAAATACTTACTTTTCACTCTGATGACTTCAAGGTGGTTTCTAGTACACATTTACCTTAAGAATAAGTTCTGTTTACTGGTAGACATTCCAAATTATCACCCAATATTTCTGTTAACAGATTTTCTTCCATATTCCACTAAAAATTTTACCCATGAGCTTGCCTGGTAATGGGTGTACTTTATTTTTTTGCACAGTTTACTTTGTGACATTCAGTACCCTTTTTGTAAAAAAAAAAAAAAAAAAAAAAAGTGTCTTATACTGCTTACCTGAGGATCACACCATCATGAAGATTCTGTCACTATCATTTGGGGCATGTAAGGCAGCATTTTGAGAATTGCTGCTGGTAAGAGCCAGTTTCTTTTCATATAACACTCTAGTTTGGATGAGTCTTCTTAAATCCTATGTTCAGATTCTTCAAATTTCTTCTACAGTATAGGTTTGCAAGTTGAAGTGATTTTAGGACATTAGTGTAATGCAAATACTGGCATTGCAGTGTTTACCATGTATACAAAAACAATGTGCCTAAGATTTGTAATTCTTTAAAACTGCTTGTGTTTCATTATAAGAGTTGGCTTTGTGTGATTACATTGAGACTTATAACCTAGAAAGTGAAAATACTGCAAGTTTTAAGATCCCTTCTTCTCTAGTAACAATCCTTTTTTTTTTTTTTTTACTTTTTTAAAATTGATTTTAGAGAGGAAGGGCTAGAGAGATAGAGAGTGAAAAACATCAATTGGCTGCCTCCCACACACGCCCCACCAGGGATCAAACCCGGGTATGTGCCCTGGCCAGAAATTGAACCTGCCACCTTTTGGTGTCCAGGACAATGCTCCAACCAACTGAGCCACACCAGCCAGGGCTCTAATTACGGTCCTTGACAGTGTACCCCAAGATGAAAAAAGCTCCATGGATGACATGCACAGTTACATTTATTAATGGCTGCTCTATGTCACATGTACCACATTTTGCCACCACCTCTGTTTTATGTATAATTCATCATTCATTTGCCTGCAGACTTTTGCAGTGCCTTGCAATATTTAGAATCTTTTCAGATTTTTTTGCTGGAAAGAAAAGTAGTCTTCTAAAGTTTGAAGATGGTGAATAGTGTACTGCTGTCTCCATGCTGACCGCAGTAGTTGGGTTATCATATATGTTATGTATACATTGTGTATATGTAACGTGTGTAAGTTTAAAAATACAGAAAAAAGTGAGTTTGTGCAGAAATGAAGAAAACAGTGTTATTCACGTCACTGGGTTTTTATTTAAGTTATTTTTTCCATTACTTAAATGTTTGATTCAGCTTATAGTCACTTTGACTGTAAATATTGGCTAGTTTTCTATCTAGGGATTTTGCATTCTTTCATAACTTTTGCTAAATTATATAATAGTGCTGTTTGCATCCTTGCTGAGGTACTTTTCCAACATAGAAATAATCAATTCTTGAGGTAGAGCTCAGAAATCCCCTTCTTCCTTAACCAGAGCCTCCTGGATAGCAAGGGCCTTCCACCCATTTCCAAAACCAGACAGTCCTTTTCACTGTCCTTGCGGAAGCGAGAAGGGTCGCGTTAAGTCAGCCTGCTTGTAAAGCCTGTCTGGGGCAAGCCCGTGTCCAACTGCCATGTTTACTCCCCAAGTGCAAGTCTGACGAAGAGTACTGTACCTCCACATGTGGTAACGTGAGCGTTTCGTCATGAACTACCTGCTGCTATGTTTGTGAAGTTGGGTGTAACATCTTAAGAATATGAAACCAGTATTGGTGTAAATCTAATGAAAATTACCCTGTGTATATTTGTAGCAGTCTTGAATCTCTATTTAAGGTAATTTGCTGTAATATAACAAATATGCATTCTGTTTCTCATCCTTTTCTTACCTATTTTATATTGAGCATGAATTCTAATGGTTTGACAGCAAAATTATCTGTGAAAGTTTAAAAGGCACTTTTCTGCTGCGATTTTTAGATTGAGTGTAGAATGTACTGAGTGTAGAGTATGATGGGATGTATCATTTTAAAACCCCAGATTTAATTCCAGCCCAGTTGCTTTTGTTTATCTACCTCGTTTTCAGTGTTGTTTGGGGCGCACACATAAACACTGCCTGTGAAACTTGCTTTTTTTTTTTTTGCCTTGATTCTCAGTATTTCCTTCAGGTTAGAAACCTGGCCCGCCTCTTTGTCCCAGTGTTAACTATTAGTTTGCAATGAGAGGGGCCATCACTCTGCCACCAGTCTGTGTTTAAGTGATGAGAGCCAACGTGCCTCTGTAAAATAAGCTTTGGGGACTTGGGGATGGAGAGCAGAGAAATAAATCCAGCTGGTGGCAATATAGGACTTAGTTGTAAGAATTAGTTGTAAAGTAAACAAGTGATAAGAAAGTACCCAAATTAGACAGTCCAGTGCCTGTAACTTTGCATCTTCTACTAGAGATGCATTTCTTATTTCTGTGCCTAAAGGGCTCTGGGTTGAAACTGTTTTAACTACCACAGTGAAATAGTGGACAAATCCTACAGCAGTGGCCTGTCATTCAGCGTATTAGCATACTGCAACATATTTGCAGTGATGTTTTGTTACCTTAAAATAGATGTGTGCTTTCAGTTGAATTGTAGTTGGTGGTAATTTTATCCACTCTCTAAAGTTTATTGGAGGCATTGACTTTCTTTGCTTTCTTTTCTGAGTGATGAAAATGATACATTCCTTTTTTCCCAAAAAACTCAGCAAATGTTTGTAAACCACATGTTCCTTGTTTCACATGTTTACCGTGTGTAACACTACAGCATATTTAATGGCAGTAAATACTGTATTTCAGACTTCATGCACAAGTACATTCCTGAGGTATAAGTGCCATCAGTTTGGGATTCAGTTTTTAAATCTTTTTGGTTCAGAAAAACTTGAGATATTTGAGATCACGTGTAGGACATTTTCTAGAATAGATTGTTCACATTTCATTCTGTAGTTTACTGGGGACTTGTTTCCCCAATCCCCCTTGGTTTGGAAGATGAACCAGAAAAGGGGGGTGGCATAGAAAAGGCCATTGATTTGGTAAGTGTAATTTCTGGGATTGACATTTTTTAAAAAATGCAGACTGTAAAATGGTGACAGTCAAACTTGCTAAAATCCTATGAAGTGAAGTTAGCATGAAATTTTTATGGAGCCAAATGCTTTCAGGTCACCCTGGAAATAGTCTTACATGTGAAGGATGAACAGAAACATTGGTCAGGTCTTGACAGCTGACATAGGCAGGGACCTGGGATAGAAACTTAGGTTACACTGAAGTTATTTTTAACCGAGGTAGCTAAAAGAGTGTACAAACCACCAGCTCCCATTCTGGAAGGTTTTCTTTTAATTAAAAAAAAAATAAGCAAAAAGGCTGAAAGTTGAGCAAGAGGGGAAGAGAGAAACTGGGCTCTTGAGAAGAAAACGTGCCAGTGTAAACTCCTAAATGCGTGCTTGCCATCCTTCCAGTTTTTTTAAGTTGCATTTCTTTTTCACTATATTTTAAGATTTCAGATTGAGGTTCGTGGTCCAGAGCACACCCTCAGCAGAAATAGTGACTGATTGGAAAGTGCAGTTGTTCAAGGTCTGTCATGCTCAGTCACATAAAGCTTTGTTTGATACGAATATTAAGCATGTAGACCTAGTACAGCATGAGAGCCACTCAGGAAGTTTATGCAATTAATAAACTTTCATGCATAATTTACTATGAAGTATGCAGACTTTCAGTCGCTTCTCTACATTTAACATTTAGTTGTATATGTGAACTCTCTTTTTTAAATTAATTTTTTAAGAGAGAGGAAGAGAGAGGGAGAGAAACATCCATCAGTTGCCTCCCATTGGAGCCCCGACCTGGGATCGAACCATCAAACTGGCAACCTAGATATGTGCCCTGACCGGTAATCAAACCTGCTACCTTTTGGTGTATGGGACAATGCTCTAACCAACTGAGCCACACCGGCCAGGGCTGAACTCTCTTTTCTTAATTGGGGAATGTAGCATTATATAGAATGTTGATAAACTTAATTTTAATCCTTGTTGACATTAACTTTTTTTGGGGGGGGGGTAAACCAAGTGATCTGCCTTTAAGCAGTTGTCTTATTTTGGTTCTTTGAAGCTGTGATTTTTATTTCATTTGTACCCAACCATTGTAAGTATTTTGTTTGTTTCCTGGAAATTTTGTTTTCAAACAGAAAATAAAGGCTGTGTTAAAATGAGTATGTCATCTTATTAAAATGCTGTCGTAGTCACTGCAGTTATGTGGCTTGAGCTGGTTCTTCATTTACCAAATGTAATTTAGCAGATTTTTAAAAATTTAGTCCTATAAATTATGCTGGCTGAACAAACTAGCCAAGCTATGTGTTACCTCTTGATTTATAGCCCCAATGAATTTTTTGTTGGACCTCTTTTCCACACTTGTCAATGAGCGATAATTGTCAGAGTCAGTATGATTTACTGAGTACCTACTGTGTTAGCTAGGCTTTTATCTGTGATATTTTAATTTATAAAACAATCCTATAAGCTAGGTCTGTTACTCTCTCTACTTTATAGAGAAAATTCGAGGATCAAAGAGATTATAGAATTTACCAAGGTAACACAGCTAGTAAATGGTGAAGCCTGGATCCAAACCCAGCTCTGTCTGACTCCAAAGCTCATGGGACAAACCCCAGGCCATACTCTCAGATGCTCTCAGATGTACTGCATGAAAAATAATCCAAATACATTTACAATAGGTTTTCATCAAATTAGAGGATAAGTATGTACTCCTTTTACATATTTTACATGAGGTTATATCTAGTACTTGTTTAACAATTTAAGCAGAAGTATATGTTTGTAGTACAAGAAATGATTCAAAATGTACCCTCTGCACATACTTATTAAGGAGAATTTGTTTTCATATTGATAGTGATTATGATCCATCTTTAGGGAAAAAGTGGGTATCTCCCTCTCACATCTCTCATTCACCATACTACTGTGACTTAGGAGACTATCAAATGACGTCGTGTCACTTGTTCATTTGATAATTTAGGTAGAAAAATCATGCATATGTTTATGCAAACAGCCACGGAGGAAGAGTAAGAGGCCTATCAGAAATATTCAAGATTAGGTAGGGATTTTTTTATTTTTTGGTCTTAAAAATTGGCACTTTTTTTTTTAATCCTTACCCGAGGATATTTTTTCCATTGCTTTTCAGAGAGAGTGGAAGAGAGAGAAACATATATATCAATTGGTTGCCTCCTGCACACACCCCGGGGCCGGGGATCATGCCTGCAACTGAGGTACGTGCCTTTGGCCGGAATCAAACCTGGGACCCTTCAGTCTACGGGGCCACACTCTAACCACTTAGCCAAACCAGCTACGGCTAAAAATTCGCACTTTTTTATTTCAAGTATGAAAGACTGCCAGTGAAGTTAAAGTGATTTTCCTTCTTTAGAAAATAAGTGTAAACTAAAAAATCAGTATAAATTGTATCCCTTACATATTTTCCCAGATAGTTTATCTATACATAGGGATTTTTAATGATGTTAATTCTTCCTATCATGAACATGGTATGTGCTTACATACTTATTAGTTCTAGCTTTTTGGTGGAGTCCTTAGGGTTTTCTATGTACAATATCATGTCATCTGCAAATAATGATAGTTTCACCTTTTGTGACAGCATGGATAGAGCTGGAGAGTGTTATGCCAAGTGAAATAAGCCAGTTCG